CTGTTGGTTCATAACTGGAATGTTGGACCTGGGCCAGACCAAAGCTAGGACTCGACCACTTGAGCCATCACCCACTAACTCCCAGGATTCACATAAGCAGGAAACTAGAATTAAAAGTAGAGCTGGGACTTGAACTTGGGCATTCTGTCATGGGATGTGAGCATCCCTAGTGGAATTTTAACCATTGTACCAAACACCTGTCCCCCAGTCCCGGCTTTTTACTCTCATAAACTAGTGTTTCTATGTTTATTCCAACTCTGCCTGTCTTGCCATTACTCTGATTAGCACCATCCAAGCCAAGAACTTGGGTGCCACAGCATTCTGTGTAAGTTCTCTATGACTGTGCGGCAAAGCACCTCAACCTTTAGTTTCTTAAAGCAATGACCATTGTCTCACAGTTTCTTTGGGTCAGTGATCTGGGAGCAGCAAAGCTGCTGGGTGGTTCTGGCATAGCTTCCCTCATGGGGCTGCAGTTACTGCAAGACTCAACTGGGGCGGGGAAGAGAGCTGCTTCCGAGCTCTCCCACAGGGCTGCTGGCAGCCTTAGTTCCCTGCTTCTATGGTTTGGATTGTTTTTCCCTTCCAGATGTATGTCCTGGAAGCTCGGTCTCCAATGCTACAGCTTTGGGAGGTAGAGCCTAAAGGGAGATAGGGAGGTCCCGAAGGCCCTGTCTCAAGAATGGATTAATGCTGCTATACACAGGGCTTGTGGGAGTGGGTTTGCTCTCTTCTGCTCTTCTTCTAGGTAAGGACAAAGCTTTCCATTCCTCCTGAGAATGCAGTGCTCAAGGTGCAATTTGGAAGCAGAGAGCAGTTGCTAAGCTACCTATCTTGGACTTCCAAACTTCCTGAACTCTGAGAAGTCTGTTCTTTATAAATTACCCAGTTTGTGGCATTCCACTATAGCAGCACAAAATGGATTAAGACACCTGTTATGTGAGCATCTACATAGGTTGAGTGTCTTCATGCTATGACAGCTAGTTTTCCTCAGATGGAACCAAGGAAGCGGAATTAAGTCTCATGCCTTGAGAGAAGTATTAGAGCATTGTGGACCTATCTTTAAAACCACCATGAATTCTTCTTAAAGTGGTTTAGGAAAGAATGTAAATTATTAGGCTAGTTTTTCAAACTTAGCATGCATAGGAATGCTATTGAGTTCTGTTTGCATTTTGTAATTAGCCAACTTACTAAACTCTTATTAGATCAAAAAGTTTTCAGTTAATTCTCTTGGGGTTTCCAGGTATATAATCATGTTTTTTCCTTTCCTTTAATATTAATATTGTTTTTTTCTTCTCATTTTCCAATCACTGGCTGGAATTACCCAAATTATAGTAATAAATAATGAAGATAAATAATGGTGGTGATAGTGGACATCCTTGTTTCATTGCTCACTTTAATGGGAATGTCTTTAGTGTTTCACTGATACGAATGATGTTTTCTGTTCCTGGTTTATTACATTAAAGAAGCACCTTTTTTTAAAAAGCTAGGAAGCACTTTTATTATACTTGTTTTCCAAGCATTTTTTAACTCTTCATGAGTTTTCAAGCTCAGCTTTATTGTAAGATTTTATACGTGTATACTTTTGGATTTCCTGTAGCTTCAAGTGAAGAATTAAATTTACAGAATCCCAGCACATGGCTAGGCCAGAGCCCATGTCCAAAGGGCCAAGCAGGAAGATTCTGACATTTTGCTTTGAACTCATTGCTCTAAGGTTCTTTTCTGTTCTGCCATTTTCCCCAAGAACTCTTGGTCATATTCTATTTCCTGTCCCTGGAAAGCTTAATGCTAAGAAAGAAAAAGGCAGAATTATAATGACAGAGGACCACTCTTCTCACAATAGAGAAGGATCAGAGTCCTCTGTGGCTGAGTTCCATTCACCCTTTCTCCTCCTTCCCCTGGATGGAGTTGGGTGACTCTTTCTGCTATGTTGTAGATGTGGTTTATCCCTGAAGAGGGTGGGCATATGAGGCAGTTGTTAAGATGCCACCTGTAACAGTTGCATCCCACTTTGGAGTCCCTGGGTTTGGGTCTCAGCTCTGCTCCTGATTCCAACATCCCATTAATGCACACTCTGGGAGACAGCAGATGATGGCTCAAGTAGTTGGGTCCCTACCTGCCACATGAGAGCCCCACCCCGAGTTTTCAGTTCCTGGCTTTGGCCTGACCTAGCTGTGTTGGTGCAAGGCGTTTGATCAGTGAACCAACAGATGGGAGGTTTGCTATTATCGCTCACTCTCACACTCTTCAATAAGCATTAGTAAATATAAAGAGTTCATGAGTTGAAAGCGTAGTCCTCAAGGCGATGATGTTAAGAGGTGGAAGAGCCTTTAAAAGGCGGGGCTTAGTAAGAGGTCATCATGTCAGAGAATAATGCTCTTGGAAAGCTTTAAGGTAGTTCTCATGGTACTCTCATTTAGTTTTCTTAAGGAGATTGTTGTTGTCCACTCTGCCTGTCAAAAAAAAAAAAAAAAAGTGAAAGCCTGGCCCCCTCCCTTGCTTTGGCTTCCTGCCTCATGTAAGAGCTCTCTCTCACATCATCTGCCGTGAGGTTCTCAGCCAACAGCATCCCAGCACCATGTTCCTGAAGTACCCAGCCTCAGATATTTCATTATGGTAATAGAAAATGGCCCTCCTATTGTATAATTTATGGACTGCAGAGTTAGGGTGCAATATTTAGGGAGATTGTACAGGTGAGTTTTCCTTTAAATCACTTATCCAGAAGATTGAATGGTCAGAAACATGCCTCTTATAACCTGTGGGCTTCTTTATAGACTGTCACTTTCCTACCCACTTGTCAATCTTGTTTGCACATTCAACCCTTGCATTATGGTGATCTCTTCCTTGCTTACTCAGAGGAAAACTGATTATTATAATAGCTGGACAAAATGACCCTCATGACTGGCCCAATTAAAAGATGATCTTTAGCCTTGTCTCTCAAAGTGCTGACCAGCAGGATCAGCCATTCTTGGGGGTTTGTTGGAAATGCAGACTCCCAACCTACAGAATCAGAATATATAGTTTAGTAAGATCTACAAGTGCTTCCCATGCACATTTAGGTGTGAAAGATGCCAGTCTAAAGGACCTTGGATGCATATTTAATCATTTGGAGAATTGTTTTTTGGAGATTTTTTTAAAAGCCCAATGTTCAGGCCACATCCTAGACTGATAGATTTCAGCTATGTTGATTTTGCCTCCACTCAGTCATCAGTGTTTGCCAGTGCCTGGTGACAGTTTTACTTGTCCACAACTGGGTTGCAGGTGCTGTTGGCATTTAGTAGGCAGAGACCAGGGATACTGATAAACTTCCTTTAGTACACAGGACAGCTGCTCAAAAATGATTCTGTCCAAATGCCAAAAATTCCAAAGTTGTAATTTTGCACTAGAATTTCTCAGGGTAGGACGCAGGCATCATTGTTTTCCAGTTCTCCCAATGCTAAAAATTCCCTAGTGGTACTTCTTCACTGTAGGTTCCCAGGCCCTTCCATGAATGATTCTGAATCAGTGGGCCTGGGATAGAGTTGGAACTATGGTTTTTATGCATAGGCCAGGGAAGTTGAGAAGCACAAACTCTGAGGCAGGGAGAGCACAGTTACCGGGCTCTACATTAATTTAGAAAGTCCATCCCTAATGATGTGCTGATGCGATTGGGGACCTAACTACATTCTCACGAGTGGAGGTGGGTAAGAGAACTCTTACTGCCTTTTGCTGCTGAGCATCTGGGCGCCACCTCACTCTCCAGTCTAGTATGTGTCTGTGTGAGCTTCTGTTGGGCGGGAATGGAGATGCTGCTATTTTTCTCACTTGGACTTCATAAACTACTTAACACAGATTCACCTCAAAATGGATTCAGAGACAAAAATAACATCATGCCTAAATGTTCACAGCCTTGAGCTCTCCAAGGCTTTCCTGGCTGCCAAAATTACCTAACTCCTTATCATTGTTGTGCTGATTAGGGTAAAGGATGAAGACCATCAGGAGGAGGCTTAAGATTAGTTATATTGATATATCAAGAGAAGATAAGAGTGAGTCACAGTAGTAGCAGAATAAAGACTTACAGTTTGGAAGGTTTTTGAATGTAATAATGTATAACAGGCCATGAGGTAGTCCTGTTATACTCACAATTTATTTGGTTTTGTGAGCCACATCATGGTCCCACAGGTCTAGTAACCTCTTAGTTCAAACCCACTCTGATGCATGTGAAAGATGGCCTGGACTTCCGAATTGAGGAGGCCTAATGGCTCACTATGTGGCTGTTTGAATGGATGATATTTAGGTAAGTTGGGAAATGGGAATATAATACAAAGTGGGAATATTAGAGAAAGAGGTTGAGACACCTCTGTAGACTTTGCATACTTCCTTCCTGGGTCTTGAGCAATTCCTATAATTACCTTTCTGTTTCTGAGAAACTCTCTTATACATTTGAAGATTAGGGTGGCTGGTGATGGTTACATATCCCTCCACCTTGGCATCCGGCTGCTCTGCACACCAGGATCTGGAGTTTAGGAAGGAGTCAATGCTAAGCATGAGCAGTGTCTGTGCTAGAACTCCTGAAACCTTGATGCTGTTGCCATCTAAGGAACTTTCACTGTTTTGATTCCCTGATGTTCAGGTTGAAGTGGGACTCCTGGCACCTCTACACCTTAATCTGGATTGGGAAGAGAGATTAATAAAAGACAACCTTGATGATCATTGGACTTTTCAATACCCGGTGATGTCATTTGGGACATGTACTTGAGTTTTCAATAGCTGATGAGTAGGAACCTGCAGGGCTTTGGGCAGAGGGACCTCACTGTTTATCTTGAGGACATCCTCAAGTGTATTTTGGATTTGGACTTGACTGAGCCACTGTAAGAGAAGCCATGAATTTTCCATGACAGCAGTGATGCTGAGAACCCAATTTTCTGAGGCTCACATGATGAGTCTCTGGCCAGATCTGTCTAGGCAAGACAGTTCTGCTCCAGAAACTGGATTTCTCCAAGTGCAAGTCCCATATTCTGCATCTCACTCCACTCCGAGTTCATCTCCCTTATTTCCACAGTCTCAGATCCTCTAATGGGCCTCCGTAAGAGGAAAGAATGTTCTGGGAGGTTAAAGCCCTGTTCACTTCCCCTTGACCTTGAACCCGACCAAATCCAACAGATTCAGTGTCAAAACTCAAGTCTGTAAATTCTGCTGCGTGGTAGACATGGAAAGTCAGCTCCTTCTGTCGGATCCTTCTGGGGGTGCCACTGAAGGGCCATCCTGCCTGAGGCAATCTGCATCTGGTGGCTGATAGCGGCGGGAATGGAAAGGGATGCAAGGGCCCTGACATTTTGGCCTGACACGGGTACTCCAACAGGAAGGACTTGATGGCACCTGCAACACAGTTTGGTTGGTTCCTCTGCCCAATCCTGACTCCTCCTCCTCAACCTTTCGGGTGCTGAGCCCTCATCAGCAATCTTCACTCCAACTGCATCTGAGCACTGGCTTCCAGAGAATCTTGCCTGAGACACACTTGTTTCTCCCAGGGCTTCCTTCTAGAGGAAGCTTGTTCTGGCATTGATGTCCACTTCCCACGGTGGTGGCGGTAGTTTCTGGTGAGCCAGGTTATTTTATAAGGCAAGATAGTTCCTTACCATAACAGTGTTCAATGAGGGTGTTGCCTGATTCTTACCTGGGCATCAAACCCAGACACCCTCCCTCAGTTATCAGTGGGCTAAGTGGACTTTCTGAAATATGTTTCAAGTTTAAGAATAATCAAGAATCAAGCTGGGGCTAGGGCCATATTTCTGACCCTCTGTCTTTGTGTCCTGTTTCTGTCCTTTGTAATTTCCCTGTTTCCTTTTTCTTCAGTTAGGTGTGTGTCATTTCAATTTGCAATTTCAACATGGCATAAGGAATTTTCAAGTAAGTGAGACAAATTAAAATCCAATTAAAGAAATAAAATAGTGAATGGTGAAGTGTCTGGGAGCGGTTGTTGGAGCTTGGGGTGGGGATTGGTTTGAGATCTCAAAACAGCTGAAAATTACCCAAGGGGGAGGAACTGCACTGTGGAGGCTCAGAAGGCAAAGCTGCAAATAGAGAGTCTGTGACCTGCTCGTTAGAGATGATATGAGGAACAGGTTGCAAGGGAAATACATTTGATTAAACAGCAACTTAACCTCTCCAAGAAGCCTGGATTAGGGGGTAGGAGCAAGCAAGAAAAAAGACAATGATAACACTGCTGCAGCACCTCACATGAGGCAAATGAGAGACGGATGGTGAAAGAGAACATCTTTGTGTATTGTTGCAGGGACGCTTAGGGGAATTAGAGTCAGCGTGGCAGCACCGCTCGAGAGCCTGCCCTACCACTCACACTGTGCTGTGGGCTAGGGGTGCAGACACAGAGGGTGACAGCACAGATGTGGCCTTCAGTGCTTGCAGGCCGGTGGGAGGGTTGGCTGGGAGTGTGCACAGCCAACAGTGTCATCAGTTAAGGCTCCTATAATGCAGTGCCACAGACTGCCTGGCTGCTAAACAACAGGTACTTATTTCTTGCAGTTCTGGAGGGTGGAAATAAGTCCAAGTTCAGGGACTTACTGGTGAGGTAACTTTTAATTATGCTGGGTCTCAAATCCCAACACACAAATTCGTGTGGATCGGGGCACAAGCGTCCAGTGAACAGCAGATGTCCCCGTACTCTGCTCCCAGGAGACGGAGCCTGGAGCGATTCAGGCTGTATTCTCTCTGATGAGCACTGGACTTCAGGTCTACAGGAGGTTTGGGTGCTGGCTGCTAGGAGAGAGGCAGTAAGATGGAGAAACTGGGCCAGGACCAAGGCAAGGTGAGGGAAGTACCTACCCTGGACACAAAACTTAAAAGTGTGCCCAAAACATTGATATGCTGCTCATCTTTGTACTCTGCATTAATTCTGATTTGAAAAAAATACTGGAAGAAAATATTACTCATCGTGGTTACTGAGTTTTTTGGCATACCCTTATAGTTTATACCCAAGGCAAATCCTAACCTGGAGAAGAGAGGTGGTATTTTCCTCCTGGGTGGCCCCCATGGGCTTTTAAGGTAATCAAGATAAATATTTTGAAACATAAAGATTAATGCAAGGACTATGAAGATCACCAGAGTAGCAGAAGCTTAGACACCTGTGACCCTGTGTGTTTGGAGCTGCAGGGAGCATGAGATTGTGTGGACCCCAGAGGGTGGGCAGCTGCCGAGAGTAGTCCCCCTGCAGCACATCCCTTGTACATGGCGTGCAGTGTAGTTCTAACTCTTTCTGAAAAAAGTCTTATTTATTTGAAAGGCAAAGTGTGTGTGTGAGAGAGAGGTAGAGAGGGAAAGAGATTGTCCAGCTGCTGGTTTGCTTTCCAAATGGCTGCAATGGCCTGGGCTGGTCTGGACCAAAGCCAGGAGCCTGGAACTTCATCCAAGTCTCCCACCTGGGTGGCAGGAGCCAAAGTACTTGAGCCATCTTCCATTGTTTCCCAGATGCAGTAACAGGGAGCTGTATCAGAAGCAGAGCAGCCCGGAGTTGAACTGGAATTCACATGGGATTTCTGCATTGGAGGTGGCAGCTTAACACACAACACTGCAGGGCCAGCCTTCGTAGTTCTCATTCTTAACAGAGCAGGGATTCAGGGTCCCTCAGATGAAAGGATGACCATACTATGATAGGGTTAGACTTCCTGGAATGCCAGGAAGAGATTTTGAAAAGATCTGGCTAGCTGAAAAAAAAAAAAATCATATTTCCCAGTCTCCAAGATGCAAAGAATGCTCTTGTACTTAAAACATTGTGATGAAAGATACATCATGTAAAGTGAACTTTTAGTCACTTACAAATGAACAGTTCAGTGACATTCAATATGTGCACTTTGTGCAACCATCACCACTATCCATCCCCAGGAAATTTTCCCTTTCTCCAGTAGAAACTCATTAAACACTAACCCTGCCCCCCATTCCCTCCTTCTCTCAGCAATGGCAATCACTCTTGTACTTTCTGTCTCTATGTATGTGACTACAAGTGGCATCCCATGAAAGTTGGCATTTTGTGACTTGCTCACCTTGCTTAGCGTAATGTCTTACGGGTCGTCCACATTGCAGTGTGTGTCAGAATTTCCTTCCTGTTGAAGGCTTTTCAATGTTGCATACACGGATGTACATGTTTGTATGTAAATGCTTTTCTACTCACCTGTCCACAGGCCCCGGGCTGCTTCCACCTTTGGACCACTGTGGTAAGGCTGCTAGGAACACACTTGCCAACTTCTTGCCCTTAGAGAAATGAAAAGAGAAGAGGCCTCTGCAGGGCAGTGCACGTTTCGATTCCATCTCTTTTTAAAGGTTTTGTTTATTTTGTTTTTTAAGAGGCAGAGAGAGTGACAGAAGGAAACAGAGTCTGAAAGAGAGATCAACAGGTATCTCCCTCTTCTGGTTCGCTTCTGGGCCAGGGCAAAGCCAGAGGCCAGATACTTTTTTTTTTTTTTTGACAGGCAGAGTGGACAGTGAGAGAGAGAGAGAGAGACAGAGAGAAAGGTCTTCCTTTGCCGTTGGTTCACCCTCCAATGGCTGCTGCGGCCGGTGCGCTGTGGCTGGCGCACTGCGGTGATCCGAAGCCAGGAGCCAGGTGCTTCTCCTGGTCTCCTATGGGGTGCAGGGCCCAAGTACTTGGGCCACCCTCCACTGCACTCCCTGGCCACAGCAGAGAGCTGGCCTGGAAGAGGGGCAACCGGGACAGAATCCGGCGCCCCAACAGGGACTAGAACCCGGTGTGCCGGTGCCGCAAAGCAGAGGATAGCCTAGTGAGCCGCGACACTGGCCAGAGGCCAGATACTTAATCTGAGTTTCCCACGTGGCAGGTACCCAAGTACCTGGGCTATCACCTTCTGCTGTCCAGGGTTCACGCAGCAGGAGGATGGGAGCAGGGCCAGGACTCAAATCCAGGCATTCCAATAGGGGATGCAGATGAACGAAGTGGCAAATTACCGATGACACCCAATGTCTGTCCCTCTTCTGTTCTCCACCATAGCCTTGACCTTCCAGCTGGAGTTGGTGATTTCACTTCAGACGCTTTGAGAACCCAGTGTGTTCTAGGTGCTGGGTTTGGTAGATGCAAAGCCATCTAAGATGCACCCTTCCCCCTGAAGAACAGTTTAGTTTGGAGAGAAGGGAGCCTGCCAAGGCAGATGCATCAGCAAATCATTCTACTGGGCTCTGGGTCTGGTCAGAGAAGCTGATTGCTTCAGTTTATTATTTCGATCCTTGAGCAATTGGGGAACTCCTTTAAGAAGAGAAGATTCACTGAAGTGAGGATGATGCGAATCACGGACTTGGAGATTTTGGAGTCTTGATCATTATCACCCTTTGAATGAACAGACTCATTGAGGTTAACCAGGTACTTCCCATAGTGTGACTTGATAGCTCTCATGTTGTGGCTTCTGAGTTCCAGACTTTCTGTCTGGAAATCCCTGAGCTGGGGAGACAATGTGGCCACCAAGGAGGGAGCCCAGTGCATCATGCTATGTCTCAGTCATAAACACATGCACACAGCACCTGTGTCCTGAAGCGAGGTGAGCTCCAGAAAGCCCTTGAAACCCAGAATGTTGGCTGATTTCATGTGAATGCTTCATGGCTGAAAGAAAGCCATCCAGCCTATTAAAAGTCGTATACTCTCTTTAATGTGGATGATAAAACTTTAATTAAAGCGGTGATTAGAAACAGAATAATAATGACCACTAATAAAGTAGTTTATAGGGATCGATTGCTTTACAAAGAGCAACTCATTCCGCTGCTGGCAGGCTGCTGCAAGCAACCCCAGAGCACGGGCTCTGGGCAGGGCAGAAGGATTAGGGGAAGGGTTTACTGGAATAGAGAGATAACATAAAAGGCAATTTATAATGTGTGACTCCAAGCAATGAGCTAGGGAGAATGGAAAGCTGTGATGTGGATGGAATTCGTTGTACCTTTGCATTATGAATGAGCTTTACAAGACTGCAGGCTACAGCTCAGATTTGGTTCCTTGTGTATAAATGAGCATTATCGGCATTGTTTTTCTTTTTGTTGTGGTCCATGTATCTTAAGAGATAGAGAGGCAGGACAAATACAACCACATCTGAGAAAGTCTTTAGCAATTGACACCATACTCATAGTGGCCATAATAATAATAAAGGCTGGATTACTACTACTTCTACTACTACTACTTCTACTACTACTACTACTACTACTACTACTACTACTACTGGATACCTGCTAGGTGCCAACCACTTTAATAGTTCAGCTTCAATCCTATCATCTAGGTGATATAGCAGATGTACATACAATCGAAAAGGAAATCCAGGGACCTTTTCTGGATGGTAATATTTTAATTTATGATTAGAAAGACAGTGAGACACTTGGCTCCATAGAGGGAACATGGATAACTTTATAATGGAGAATAATTTCAGGAAGATGTTGCTTACTTTCCCCAACCAGTTCCTCATTAAATGCAATGTGGATTGTTGGAAAGTGCCTGATACTGGAATCAGACAGGAGTGAGGTCAGACCAGTGTGCTAATCACCGGCTGCTGTACCAGTGAGTCAGAAAAGGCACATAGGCTCTCTATGTCTCAGTACTGTCAGCAGGAAAATGGGGCTAATATTTTCTTCTCAGGGCTCTTGTAAAGATTTGACTTAGTCACCTTATAAGGTGACTAGCAGCTAAAAAGTTCTTGAGGAATTGGCTTCCCCAAAGATCTTCCACTTTGGTGGAGCACAGGGCTCATATTTCAGAGTATCAGGCATAGGACTAGGGCTCCTGGGCTGTGTGACTGACGCCCTTATGGTTTGAAGAGGCACAAGGAGCCAGAGGAGGAAGAGGAGAACTAGCGGTGGGGGTGACCCAGAGCCCTGGAGCCACTCGTTAGCCCTGACAAATGCTGCAGGGGAGTTCAACGAAGTTAACTCAGTGAATGGAGCACTGGTTTTAGCAGAAGGTCCACTGATGACCTTGTTAATGGGAGTCTCCAGGGAGATGTAGGGGTGGCCACTCTTTGGAAGAGCAATGAGAAGAAAATAGAGATTAGGAATTGGAGCTGGTACTTCTGGACTATCATTTTTTTATGAAAAGAAGCAGAGAAACGGGCTAATAATTGGAGATATGGGGGGTCCAGGAGGGTGTCGATCTTTTTTGCCTTGTTGTAAAAATGAGTGACAGAATGGTAAGATTGCATGCTGGTGGATACATCCTCACAGACAGAGCGCTATCAGTTGTGCAGAGAAAAGGTGATAATTGCTGGAGCTGAGTCCCTGAGAAGGCAAAGGAGGTTGAGAGGCAGGAATGAAGTGGAGGAATCAGCTTTCAGTCAGGTCAAGAACACTTCCTGGCAAAACTGACAGAGTGGTTCCTAAAGCTCAGTATGCAGGGGAGGTTTACAGATAGGAGAGCAACACACAAGCGCACACAAACAAAATTTCCAAGAGTGATAGTGTTTGGAAGGAAGCCAGCAGTGACGTGCAAGGCATGCTCCGAAGCAGTGCCCATTCATCTCGTTGCCTAGGCTCAAATGATGAGCTTCTGATTTCCTCTATTTGTTTTTAAAATCTGTTTGTTTATTTAAAGGCAATGAGGAGAGAGAAAAAGAACTGGGTCACTCCCCAAATGCCTGCAACAGTCAAGGCTGGGCAAGGCTGAAACCAGGAGCTGGGAGCTCAGTCCAGATCTCCCATGTGGATGGCAGGGATCCAGTTGCTTTAGCCATCACCTGCTTCCTTCTAGGGTGTGTGCTAGCAGGGAAATGGAATCAGCAGTGGAGCCAGGACTCAAACCCCAGCACTGTGATATGGGATGTGGGGGTCCCAAGTGGCTTCAACCACTGCACCAGACACCTGTGTTAATTTCTTCTCGTATACATTCCCCGGTGCAATCACTGACATACCCCATGGACTCTGTTTGCAAATTTTTCCCATCTCTACTGCTCCTACCTTGCACAAGTTATCACTGTTTCTTGCTTCACTCTTGCAACAACTTCCCGACTTGTCTGTCTCAGTTGCCCATGGGTTCCCCTGGCCTCATCCGTTTTCCAAAGAGCAGCCAGAATGATCTTTCTAAAGTAGTAAGTGGATCAGGATGCTTTCTCACTGAACAGGATGGTTTCCATTTCATTTAGGAAAACACATACACACCCCAAAACACTTTTAAACTGTAAAGAGCCCTGCAAGGTCTGGTCCCTGTTGACTGCTCAGTGGTTCCTACTCCTGTTTCCTCCTATGTCCACCATGGCTTTCCTTCTGACCCTCAAACATGCTACGGTGTTTCCTGCCTTAGTTTGTTCTGGCTGTGGCTCCTCTGGAATGCCCCTCCTCGAATCTTCTCAGGGATCTGTTTCTCTCATTCCATTCTTAACTCAAATGTTACCTCCTTAGAGAGGCCTATTCCATAAACACTGGCTGGACTTTCTTCTTCCAGTCTATTCTGCCCTTGATATCTTTTTTTAGATTGCATTTATTTATTTGAGAGGTAGAGTTATAGACAGTGAGAGGGAGAGACAGAGAGAAAGGTCTTCCATCTGTTGGTTCACTCTGCAAATGGCTGCAACAGCTGGAGCTGTGCTGATCTGAAGCGAGGAGCCAGGAGCTTCTTCCAGGTCTCTCACATGGGTGCAGGGGCCCAAGGACTTGGCCATCTTCTTCTGCTTTCCCAGGCCACAGCAGAGAGCTGGATCAGAAGAGGAGTAGCTGGGACTAGAACCGGCACCCATATGGGATGCCAGCGCTGCAGGTGGGGGATTAACCTGCTCCACAGTTCTGGCCCCCTGCCCTTAATATCTTAGTTTCCTTGATGGCACTTAGCATCTCAAAATATTTCATGTGTTCATTTTCAATTGTTGGACCTCCCCCACTGAAACATAGACTCTGGATAAAGAGGCTGTATCCCGGGTCCTGCCTGTAGTTGACACCTTGCACATAATAGGGCACAGCTAATACTTGTGAATGAGTGAACAAAAGGCTATTTACCTCATTTTTTTACACTATGATGCAACATAAAATTCCTATTCATCCCTATGTCGTAACCTCCACTCTCCATGACTTTCCTGCCCCTTCTTTATTCATTGCATACAAATTTCATAAAGATTTGGACCACAACACAGAAAGGCTTGGGAAGTAGTACTGCATAATCGAGTGATTTTAAGAGTCCCCAAGTTCTAATTAGCATGGTGCATGGCAATGATGCTAAATGAACTGTAATAGTCTTACCAGGTCAAAACCCAGCTTTGTAGGGCAGCCCAAAATAGAGGATGTACTCTTTTTGTCTTTAGCAGGGCAGTCTGTGGAGTCTCCAAAGGTATATCAAGGTTTAATAGACAAATAATGTTCTTGGTAGAATTGTGCAATGAGAGAGATGCCTGCAAGCTCTCTGGGGTGTGGCTTCCGGATATTGAAGTTTCCTTCAGGTGCATTTGGGGCCCGGATGGATGGTTTCAATTAGAATTCAATTAGCATCAATCAAGGCAGACTCCAGAGGCAGCCCATTCATCCCAAGTGCCCCTGCCCCAATATCCTCCCAACCCTCCCCAGTCACAGGGCGTTTCAGGAACAAAGCTCTGCACATGTGCACACATGGAAAGGAAATGCTCTGAATTCAGTGCCGTGTGGAGCTAGGAGCCCTGAACTATCACATTCATGGCCATTTGGGGATTTGCTGACCCTGGCCACCCTACATGGCGCTTTGCTGGTCCATTAGTGGTTGGGGACTTGTTCCACATGATTCAGTCAGTGGCATATAAAAGTGCCCTTGCAGCGTCTTCTCTCCAGGCACAGCCTTAGTTCTCCACCACTTGTGACAACACATCACCTAGTGGTTTGCTGCTGGTTCTCCTGGCTTCTGGCTTGAACCCTGCTGCATTCCTAGGTTGGACTCAGACATTGCCTCTCACTGCCTTTGAGATTTAATGCTCCAGATTTTTCTTTTTGCATTTGTTAACAAAGAGGTATAAATACATTTATCTGTGTGGATAGCTGATGAATGTATGTGGTTTTGAAAGAGAAGGCTAATCCACTTGCTTGAGTGGGAATTTTGGCTCAATGGAGCATGTTTTCAGAAATACTAGTTACTTGGGGATTTTGTGAATCTCTTGGGTTATGGAGAAGAGTACTTAGAAATCAGTGGTTGAACTGGGACATCCAAATCAAGTCTCTAGCAAAGAGAAGGGGGCAAACTGTATCATCATCTCCTGGGGACATTTCTTGGCAAAGGTTGACTTTCCTTTTGAAGTTGAGTCTCCTCTTGTCTTGGGACACAAATTCATTGTTAACAAAGGAGAGAAAGTGTAGGTGTGGCATGGGTGGTGACATGGAAAAGTCTCCAAACCAGTTCCAGAGGGGAACTTGTCTTGGGTTTCTTAATGAAGAACAGGAATACTGAGGGCCTCTTTTTGGGAGTGTAGTGACACTGTCTAGATCCTGGTGGAGATCTGCCTCACCTCCGTGGGAATAGAGGATTGCAGGGATGACAGCTCGGGCAGTCACAAGGCTTCCTGGTGTAAGAGTCACCAGTGGCAGTTGATTAAAGTACCTTTCAGCAGAACCAAGAGGGACACCCACGGTACAAAGCAGAAGATATCAGTATCCAGGAGAGGATGCTGTCTTCCCAGAACCTACTAAACAAAAGGACCTCCGAGGCTTTACAAGATCAGGGCTTAAGGCCCCTACTGAATGCTATTTTGTTGTTTCCCAACTATATCTTCTGTGGGTTTCTCAAATAAGTTTGGCACTGTAGTTAGTGATGTAAGTTTCTGCCTTTCATTTGGCTGGAGGGACTCGTGGGTCTACCATAATGCCTGCAGAGTGGTTCGTGTACAGAATGACAGCAAACATTAAAAACATGTGTAATGCAACTGATTCAAGTCTGAGATTTCACCCGATTAAACACTGTATGAGAAAACGCTCAGAATGTGAGAATCCAGGGGACACCCAAATGCCAGCTATATGGCTTTAAAAAATGAGTCAACCCCTGAAAGAGGTAAAAAGCAAGGTTTGGCAATTACAGAGGAAATGTCAAGTCAGGCAGGGCAGGCCCGAGGCATCCTGTGCTCATAGCAGGTGTAATTGTCCAGATTGGAGCCCTTGGCTGCCAGCCAGGTCCAGACGTCAGGTGGTGAGGAACAGTGCTCTTGACCTTTTCGTTCTGTAGCAGTCCTTTGCCTGAAGAGCTGGCAGACATAATTCACGCTGTGAACTGAAGCAAGGAAGGCACCTAAGGGGCCTGGAATTTCTCCCTCCTGGGTGTGAGTGCAGCCCTCCTTGGTGGGGTCTTGTGCTTTTGCTCTTGAAGCCACCTGCACCTCCAGCCTCAGAGCAGGAGACAATGACCTCCCTGGAGAAACTCTGCACCCCACACCAGCACTGACTGAGGTCTGTATTGAGCTCCAACAGTCTGATTTGTTTCTGATCACCACTTACTGGATCATAGCCCTTGTGTGTGGTGGCTGTGCCAGCTCCGAGTTGGAGGGATTTAAATTTGAATTTTGACTGATGATATAGCTGGATAACTTGGGCCCATGGCACTGGGGTTCTATGTCATCACTTGCAAAGCAGGGACAACAACAACAGCTATAGGAAAGTGTAGAAAGGGAAGTGCATGTTGGTGGCCAGGGAGGAGATGCTGATCCTTTTCTCATGGTACAAGCTTTCTTTACTGTTTACCAGAGTTGACTTGATCAGATGTTGAGGTTGCCTCTTGGCAGGCTTCTGCGTTCCTCCTGACCAGTGTTCTCCACACTGTTTTCTGCCTCTGTAGGTGCCTTCTTGGGCCCTTGGCCTCTTCTCTGGCTCTTCCCCTCCATGGGTCCCCATCAAAGCTGATCTTTCATATCTTGGTTTCTCACACACCCTTGGTCAAAACAGGAAGTAGTCATCTATGTCTCTTCCTATTGTGTTTTTCTGTAGGGAGTGAGGCCTTCCATCATTAGGCTATCAGACAGGTGGCATCCATTTCGAGTTCCTGGCTCTTTCCTTTGCCCATCTATCCCTGGGGTTAACAGCCCGGAATGTCTCATGTTCATGCCTCATGATCAACTCATAAACAAATCCCATCAATAGCATTAATTAGTGACTTACATCTATTCCCTTTCCCACATACTTCCAAAAATATCTCAGGTAGCTTTCCATAAATAGTGCTTAAGGTTGGTCTGTACAGGCAAGACAAAGACTCACACTGGTTTATTTTTGAATGGATCAATGTAGAAGGGAAGATGAGAGACACACCCATATTTCTCTGAAACCAAGTAGAAAGTGGTCAGAGTAGCAAGAAAGTGGCATAGACAAAGTGTTGGGAGAGTGCAGAAGAGGGCTCAGGGAACCAAGGGCTGATGAAGGAATTTGAAACAGGGAAGTTCTGAGCAAATAGAGGTGATGGGAGGCATAAGCATAAGAAAAAGTCATTTGGAGCTGAAAGAAGAGTGTGAACCACAACACAGGTGTAAAAATCGTAGGTGGTGTTTGGGAAAAACTCAGTGTCGGGGCGTCCATCTCTGGTTGATTGGACTCTGGAACATCTGCTTGTAGTATGGAAGGGGGCACCAAGGACCATGAAAGCAGCTTCATATAATGGAATATGCAGGGTCTGGACTGCCATGCTCAGGTGTCAAACAGAGAATTAGAGCAAGTTGGGTTACCCAGGGTATGTATTTCCAGAGCTTGGGGTTTTATTTAGTAGCCATGAGGACTCCATGGAACAGTTTGAACCAGAAAGGGATATGTCCAGAACTGAGCTTTAAGCACAGTATTTTGTCAGTTGCATGTTGGAAAAATTGGAGCCAAGGAGTCTGAAGACCAGGGCCAGTGCTGTGGCTCTCTTTCAGGGAAGAGTTGGAGAATGAGCTGGGGCTGGGGCAGTGATGGTGAAGCAGACTGCGTGGATGCAAGAGACATTATTGCACAGAAACTTTCCCTGGGTTCTGGTCCTTTATGCACCCTCCCTGCCTTTACTAGCATGAGGCAGTGCAATGCGGGAGGCAGAGGGATATAGGAGCCAGAAAGACAGGGGCTCGAGTTGTGCCCTGCCACTCACCAGCTATATGGTTGTAAACACATCACTTCATTTAAAGTCGTTCCTAAGGGTAAGAATATTCACTTCACAGGGTGTTGTGAAGAGTGAATGAAGGAATGATTGTAAAGGTGTTTTTTTTTTTTTTTTTGGCTTCTGCATACACATTGCTTCTTGGCTCTGCGCTCACAACCTGCTTCCTCACACCACCCCACCTTGGACGAGGTACACTTCTCTCTGTCACTGATAGCCACAACAGTAGACTCACATGGGGGTGCCTTGGATGTGATTGTGAAGCGAGTCATTCTGCTTTGGCTTATGTCATGGATGTTGCCATCTTGGTGTTTGGCTTTGTGTGGGTTGTGATTTGCCATAAACCAATCACAGATGCACCAAAAAAAACACACTAGCTTTTGAAGCTCTTGAGTTGGACAGAAGACAGGCAGATGATAATGCTACCCCCACTGAAGGAATGGCCATCTGATCTTACCAGCGTGGAGGATGTTGCTCAGGGACTTGATTGTGGAGAGGAGAATGAAGCATCTGCCTTCAAGCTTGAATGCGGTCTGTTTGTCTGCTGGGAGCGTGAGACAGTGACAGTGAAAAGGGGAAAAATTCTCAATCCTAAGAAGTTAACAAAGGATCCCTCCTTTACCTCATGGCCCATGGTCATCAACTCTTCCTTAAAGATAATTTTATTATTATTTAATTATATTTACCATAAAAGAAATACATGGTAACTGAAAAGAAGTGACATGATTTGGGTTGGGTGGATGCTGGGATCTGAATCAGCTTTTCAGACAGATCAGGTGAATACCCAAATTGTGTCTCTTTGTCAACCACCTAAGGATCATCTTTGATACTAACTTTCTTCCTGGCTCCATTGCTGTAGGATGAATTCTTTTCCAGAATGTTTTTCAGAACTTAATTTTAAAAGCCTTTGGGTAAATCTTTGCCCATTTGATTTCCAGTGGTAGGCACCAGATAAGTTCCATATTCTGACAAACTTGAGTGTGAATTCTTTGAGGTCATACACTGCAGCTTTCAACTTGGCTTCCTGAAGCCTGGTACAGTGTCTGTACATCTAGAAGTACCCATGTATATGTAGGTCTTTTTCCCCACCTACACTTGGTAACACCCAACAAATAGCCTGAAACTGCTCACATCAGCTTTGCTGTGCCTCCCCCGTACTCCTCCTCCTCTTTCCCCTTCTTTCTCCCCTTTTCCATTCTTTTCCACCTGCCCACAGCCTACGTGTTCATCTCTCTAGGCCACCTTGTTCTGGAGGGCACATCTTGTCCTCTGGACCTGTCCCATTAACTCCCATACAAATAAACTGAACTCACTCCCCTTGCCACATTTGTTCAGGGCCAAGGCCCTGGTAAACAAAATGAAAAAAACCATCAGGAGTTAAACTTCTAGTAGCCAAGAGAAGCTAAGGTGAAACCACCTAACTTCAGAGAGATGGAAAATATAGCTATAGTTCCTATCTCAACAAATTCTTAGATTTCGTTCTTAGACTTAGAAATTAGACTTCTAATGGGCTATTGCTTGTACATTTAGAATAGCTTGCCTTTACCATAACCAGTTGAAATTGGTTTCTTCCCTGGCATTCAGCAGAACAATCAACATTTTTTTCTGATAGCACTCAGTTAATTTTAGAGATTCCTCTGTGTTTTTAGGAGGCTTTTTACTAAAGTCCATTTTCTTTTGTACTTGAGGCATTGGTATTTCTTCTATGGTCTAGTCAAAAAGATGTCATCTAGGGTTTGATTTTTGTGATGTATCTATAACTCAAAGCAAGTTTATGAAACTCCTGTCTTTTCCTTGGTGATAGTGAGAGCTCAGCATTTTTATCTGCACAATTTTCTGAAAATGTCAACCACTCACCCATTTAATACTTTACCTATTCAGTGAATATTTACTGAGACCATCTTTGAGTAGAAATAAGATGGCATTTGGGATAACTGGTCACACAGGTTCCAGTTCACATGGACATTCTGGCAAATGATGGCATAGAACAAACTACAAGAAAAATGTTGAGTAGAAGTAAGGCAATGTAGAGAATTAAAGCAAAGTGATGTAGTGAGTAGGTGACAATCATGGATTTGGTAGTCAGAGAAGGCCACTCTAGGAGGCTGGCATTTGAGGACAGGGGGGTGGTGCAGTGTATTAAGCTGCTTCTTGAGATGCCAGCATCCCATATTGGAGTGCCAACTTGAGTCTCAGACGCTCTGCTTCTGATCTAGCTCCCTGCCAATGAGCCTGGGAAGGCAGTGGAAGCTGTACTTGGGCCTCTGCACCCATGTGGAATCAAGTACTTGGACCCCTTCCACCCATGTGGGAGACCTGGATGAAATTCCTGCCTCCTGCTTTCAGCCTGGCCCTGACCCTACTGTTGCGGCTATTTAGGGAGTGAAGCAGTAGAAGGAAGCGCTCTCTCGCATGTGCTCTCTCTCTGACACACACACATACTCAATCTCTGTTTCTGTTTCTCTCTTCGATGTTCTGCCTTTAAAATCAATCAACCAACCAATCTTAAAAAAGGAAGGTAACATTTAAGTCAATATCTGGATGTCAAGAAGGAGCCAGCTATGGGGTCAGAGGACAACAGCCTTGAGACAGGATTGAGTATGTTAGAGTCTGAAAAGCCCACCGCCCGAGGAACAACTCCAAGAGACTTTTCTCTCATGCAACCAGCAAAGGGTTAAAGATTTATTGATTATCCAGCATGCTGGGGCTGCCTGATCATAACAAAAGCAGAGCAGCCCCGAATAACCAAAGGTTAGGGTTTATAAAGGCAAAAACCGCAAAACCGGGAAGGGGGGAATACATGGTTGCTATGCACGGCTGCTATACACAGTTGCTAAAATCAAAAGAGAGTATATGGTTACTGGGGTCAACATAACCTAAAACCTAAGTGAAATTAATATTTATCATAATCTTGACAATACCAGTTACAATATTACAATTAGCAATTAGGACTTGACATTAATGTAAGACACAGACAAATCACATCTCTATTATTAGCCCAGGTAACCCAGGTGCAACCTTTCTACTTTTAAGCTTGAGCAATCATGCTAGGGGGTTTTTGTGCATTGCCAAGGGTGATGTAGTGCACTGCTATTGTCCGACTATTTGAGATCATAGTTTCAGACCAGAGTCTCACGGTGGGGGGGGGGGTGCTTTCTCAGAATGGAGTCTCAAGTGCTCCAAAATGGAGTCCCTACTGTCAAGGTGCTACTTCACTCTGTCTTATTTTCACAGCTGTACCAGGAAGATTTAAACCTGTAAGCTTAAGCTTAACTTTTTACACCCGCACATATACAATTTTAACTCTTCAAGTACAATTTGCTCAAGGTGCATTGAGGAGACCAGTGTGTCTGGGGTCCAATGGGAATGGGGAATGGTGGCATATGATGAGGACAGAAATGTGAGTAAGGGATTGTAGAGTCAAAATCAAAATGGAGTGAGTGTGGCCAAAACCTAATTGTAGATCTCTTGTTTCTGTACATATTAGCTTTGCTTGCTAAGGGTGTATCTTTTGAAACAATGTGGGCCCAAAATTCCAAAGAACTGAGAAAGGACTAAGTTGACAGAAATGCACCTTGCAATGTTATCTTACAACCATATCTTGGGTTTGTTATTGTTCCTGGGTTTGTTATTGTTAACTGTTATCTTACAACCATATTCTACTTGTAATTTTTATTGTTCACTGCATACCAGAGGTTCAAAATTGTGAGCTGTAGTGCAGAATACTATAAAAAGATGTGTAACTCACTGTTGGGAGCCACACTCTGGTAAGGAGTATTGGTCCCAATCAGTTGCATTGCCTCTCATTTTCAATAAAATTTGTGTGTGACTGTCACTGGTTTTTGTTATAGTCTATTTTAGCTGACGTGTGGATACAGCAGGATGAGCATGGAAGGCTTTGTAAGTCAAGGGAATATTATTATTAAGTGTTGTGAATACTCTTGGGGACCTCCTGTTTTGAAAAACAGCTTTTTAAGGTATAATTTACATACTATCAAACCCATGTGTTTCAAGTGAACAGTTACACATGGCTTTTGGTGATTTGCCAGATATGTGCAGTCATCATAACAATTCAGTTTTTAAGCACTTTCATGATCCTGCTCCCTTACAGTCTTTCCTCATTTCCACTCTTGACCATCATTATCTACCTGCCTCCCTACTGAGTATTTCTCATAAAAGAATCATGTGGGCTGGCGCCACAGCTCACTAGGCTAATCCTCCGTCTGCGGCACCAGCACCCTGGGTTCTAGTCCCAGTTGGGGCGCCGGATTCTATCCCGGTTGCTCCTCTTCCAATCCAGCTCTCTGCTGTGGCCTGGGAAGGCAGTGGAGGATGGCCCAAGTCCTTGGGCCCTCCACCCGCATGGGAGACCAGGAGGAAGCTCCTGGCTTCCGATTGGCACAGTGCGCCGGCCGCAGCACGCCAGCAGTAGCAGCCACTTGGGTGAACCAACAGAAAAAGGAAGACCTTTCTCTCTGTCTCTCTCTCTCTCTCTAACTCTGCCTGTCAAAAAATAAAAAAATAAAATAAAATAAAAAAGAATCATGTGATGTGTCATGGTTTGCATTTGACTTCCGCCCCTGGTTTGTTTTATGAAGTTCATCCAGGCTGTAGCCTTATGAGTACTTTGTTTCCTTTTCTTTTTGTAAGTTTCAGTTCATAGTCCATATTTTATTGATTCATTCACCAGTTGATGGCTATTTGGGTTGTTTCCAGGTTTGTTTAATACAAATAATATTAAATAAGCATGGAAGTGAGTGCCATGATCTGATTGACATGGAGAAAGATTACTGTGATGGAAAGAAGGGAGGCAGCTGTGGCAGCATGAAGATCAGTTAAGAAACCATTGCAGTTGCCTAGAGAGTGGGGTAATACTTGAAATGGCAGAGTAAAGTGGAGGAGGTGATAAGTGTGTGAACTTGAGGTATGGTTAGAAGAGTGAGGACCTACGGACCATTGGATGTGCTATGTGAAAAGCTGTGCGTGGGGAACAGAGTTTCTTTCAGTGTGTGTTTTTCTTGGCTAATCTTGAACTCTCTTAAAAGCCAAGGGTGAACTTTACAGTTACAGATGATGAATTGGAGTCATTTTTGTCTCTATTCATTCCCCTCCTCCTCCCACTTTAGAAAGAATAATAAAAAAAGTAAAACAAAACAAAACAAAACAAAAAACTTCATTTCTGGTGAAACAAAGAAATGACTATAACCTGAAGCATGCATACATCAAGCTGTGCAATCTGTACCAGGCAGGGAGGAGATGTAACGATCCCACACTTTTCTCTCAGGTCTCCAGTAGGAGCAGAATTCATTAAAAATCACAACCTTTGGAATGTTGGGTGTGTTTTCTTATTGTCCTTCTTACTGAGTTTTGATTGTCAACCTGTGAGGAGTCAGATGGGCTAACAGGTAGTCAGGGTGGTCCCAAAGAAATTTGCTTCCTCTCCCAAAACATTATCATTAGCAAGAATTAACAAGCTGCCCTCCTTCCTTTGGAATCTCCAGATTTACCAGGAGAATAGCAAGGGAGCTCCTCCTGAGCTCACAGCTTATTGTGAAAACAAGCTACCTATTTTATTTTCTCTACATTTTCTTTTTTCTACTCAACATATCACCAGCAGGCCAGGCAGGAAGGAGAATTGTAAATCAGGCCTTTTGATGGGTTTTGTCCCCACCTGGTAACTGAATGCCAATCTGATTGTCAAGTTTTTTTTTTTTTTTTTTTGTTTTTTTCTTCTGAGATTGTACTTAAAAGAGCCCAGTGCTGTGAGGCCATTTGGGTTTTTTCCTCCCTTGGAAGCCCCCCTCCATGCTGCTCTGGCTGGAGGTCTTTGACTCTAATAAATCTTATTAAATGTCTCTGCTTGTTCACTTGGAAATTCTTCTTTCATGTGAGACAAAGAACTGAGGTAGCTATTTATCTGCCACCATTTTCCTGTAACAAAACTGATATCGGGCCGGCGCTGCGGCTCAACAGGCTAATCCTCCGCCTTGCGGCGCCGGTACACTGGGTTCTAGTCCCGGTCAGGGCGCCGGATTCTGTCCCGGTTGCCCCTCTTCCAGGCCAGCTCTCTGCTGTGGCCCGGGAGTGCAGTGGAGAATGGCCCAAGTCCTTGGGCCCTGCACCCCATGGGAGACCAGGATAAGTACCTGGCTCCTGCCATCGGATCAGCGCGGTGCGCCGGCTGCAGCACGCCGGCTGCGGCAGCCATTGGAGGGTGAACCAACGGCAAAGGAAGACCTTTCTCTCTGTCTCTCTCTCTCACTGTCCACTCTGCCTGTCCAAAAAAAACCAAAAAAAACCTGATATCGGAGATGACCCCCTAAAATCTATACAAGAATGTGGCCCCTTAAAGTTCCCCAGAAGTGCCATCTGGGGTGCCACATATGCTACCGGAATTTGGGGTGCAATATGATATCACCATATGCTTATTAATAAATCCCCAATATTAATAAGCCCAAGAGGGTTCTTGCCTAATATTTAGAGAAGAATTCTAAATACCGGCACAGATAAATGAGGCAGCATGGTACATTTTTTTTTTTAATTATTTGAAAGTCAGAGTTAGGGGGGAGAGAGAGAGAGAGAGAGGTTCTCCAGCTGATGGTTCATTCCCCAATTGGCCTCAATGGCCAGAGCTGCACCAATCTGAAGCCAGGAGCCAGGAGCCTCCTCCAGGTCTCCCACGTGGGTGTAGGGGCCCAAGGCCTTGGGCCATCTTCCACTGCTTTCCCAGGCCACAGCAGAGAGCTGGATTGGAAGAGGAGCAACCGGGACTAAAACCGGCGCCCATATGGGATGCTGACACCCCAGGCCAGGGCTTTAACCCACTGCACTACAGCGCCAGGCCCAGCATGGTACATTTTAAGCCTTTATTTAGTGAGAAAGATGCATAGGAGAGTGAGAGCTTTATTTAGGAGAGAGAGGTAAATCTGGGTTCATACCTAGTGCCAGGAACCAGCCACGTGGAGGAGCATCTAGGCCAGGAAGCCTAGGGCGGGTGGCCTGAAGGCCACGTGCCCTGGAGGTGCAGGGCTACAGCAAGCCCCCTTCTGGCAAGAGGCCAGAGAAGAGAGAAGGGCTGGGACACACTGTGTCCTAGTCTTTTAACCCACTTCCAAAGGGGAGTGGTTAATTAACCACACCCAGGTGTGGCCAGGTAGGGCGTGAGGTCACACAGGGGCATGGTGAAGGCGTGATAATGCACATGCTATGCTACAGGATAGCTAAGAGTGTTCATAACTAGCCCCACTGCATCCTTGTGTATTGATAAAAAGTCACGAGTGGAAAGTTGAGTAAATTAGCAGGAATATAGTGATTAGAGGTGACCTGAAAACTTTGCTAGTGAGCCCTGCTTATCCTTTTGTGTTTAATTAGTGATAGGACTTAGAATCCAACTTCAGGAGGTTATCAAGAGTCTTGAGAACATAATGAGGAAAAAAAGGACTTTGAAGATTTAGGTGAAGAAATTATTTTTTAATCAAGAATGATTAGAAGGTATTGTGAAGCCTCCTCTGTGATATTTAAAAGGAAGATAAGCTGGTTTTTTTGGCAGTGATTAATTGCTCTGTTGGACAGCAGGGATGCACTGAGATGGCCTCTCCCTGTTGCCTCTGACCCTATGACTCTGAGGTGGAAGATACAGACTCTGGTTTGTAGGACTCTTCAAGGTAGACAGTCAGGTTCTTTGTCCTGGTTGTTGCAGGCATTTGAGGAGCAAGCTAGTTGATGGGAACTTTCTCTCTGTGTGTGTCTCTAAAATAAATAATTACCAAAAAAAAAAAGAGAGTAAATGCAAAATAGTATCTAAGGCTGAATCATGTAATAGAAAAAGATCACTAGTGAGATAACTGGAAAAATCTGGATAAAGTCTATAGATTTATTAATATTGTTATATCAATATTAATTTCTTCATCTTGATAAGTGTATCATGGGTAGGAAATATGTTAACGTTAGGGGAACCAGTGATGGGTATATGTGAACTCTCCATATGCTGTCTTTGCACTTCTTTTATAAATTTAAAATTGTTGTATTTCAAATAAAATCTTTATAATGCCACATGGGGAGGAAGGAGGAAACAGGAAAGGGATGGGGTACACTTCTGGGAAGCAGGCACTGTTCCATTTCTGCATGTACGTGCTGATTTTGTTGAATGATGTGTTCATGATGTGAACGTTTATCTGCTGTATATGTTTGGTTAGTGTACTTTTTGTGTTTGTACTACATTTCAATAAAATATTTATTTTAAAAAGTTCCATCAGTCAAAGCAGACAGGGTTTAGCTTGAAGGCTTTGAAATTGAGATAAAACCTATTTTGGGTTATTGTTATTTTTTTAAAATTCCAGCTTTAATTCAGTTTTTATTGCTGGGTTGACTGATCACCCAAGTAGCTGCAAATCAGCTTCTTTTGAGCGGGTTAAGGCAAGGTCAGGAAGTATATTAGTGACCACGGTGCCATCGCTTGTTAGAGGTCGGAATTAAGTTACCTATGCTGAGGTCCAGGGATGAACCTGGGCTTGCTTGTGTCACTCCCTGCTCCCTTCCAGTCAGCCTTGTACTGGACTCTGGCCTATTCAGTCTCACTGGCTTTCCAAGATGATACATCCACTTGGCTGATGTCGGCTTGTTCTGACCCTTAAAGGACTCTCTCGTTTGCATACTAGACACCTCTCAGGGGATAAATGTGTACTACGGTTGCTTGAGAGCTGTTTGTTGCAACTCATTTGCACATGTTCTTGCTGCTTGTTCCTGCTTAGATGCTATCCTTGCCTGTTCTGAACTTCAGGCTCTTGGACTAAAATGTGAATTTCTGGGCCTTGGGCACTTGACTTTCAATTTGCATTGGTCTCTTTGGCATTGGATTCGTGGTTCTCCCTACTTGGGCTTTGGCTTGTAAACTGGTGTGTCTCACTGTGGGATGCCCTCACTAGGCATGGCCCTTTGCAAATGAATCTCTCACCATTTCTTCTTGGCTGATGGCCTTCCTCGCTGGGATCCCTTACAAGGTGGGTATTCCACCATATTCCAGTAGCTAAGATGGATATCTTGTCTAGGTCAACTTGTTTCTCCCTTGATGGTGGGGGTGGGGTACTGAACCGTATTCCTCATTCCCATAGCCACAAAACAGAATCCTGCAGTGAGTGAGCACATCACTTGAATAATGTAAATCCCTTCTCTGAGTTCACCTACTTTTTACCCTTGAACCTTACAGGCTACAGTGCTTCTACAGCCAGATTGGACTTGCCAGCACCAATACTGTCCAGACCATGCTGAAGCTCACCATGCCCTTGGGTTATTATACCCTGAGTTTCTCTGAAGAAAGACCCACTTCTATAGCCGCTCAGCTCCTCACCTCACCAACAGCTGGTACTTCTGGCTCCCAGCACAATTTGATCTTGAGCCCAGCCATGTTCTTTCCAAGAGGCTCCAAAGCAAGAGTGTGCTGCTTAGGTAAAGTGTGTGGTGGCTTCTGGAATCCAAGTGTCTGCTCCTTTCTGTTCCACTTAATAAAAATGGATTCCATGGCCGGTGCCACAGCTCAATAGGCTAATCCTCCGCCTTGCAGCGCCGGCACACCGGGTTCTAGTCCCGGTCGGGGCGCCGGATTCTGCCCCGGTTGCCCCTCTTCCAGGCCAGCTCTCTGCTGTGGCCAGGGAGTGCAGTGGAGGATGGCCCAAGTGCTTGGGCCCTGCACCCCATGGGAGACCAGGAGAAGCACCTGGCTCCTGCCTTCGGATCAGCGTGGTGTGGCGGTAAAAGGGAAGCCGGCCGCGGCGGCCATTGGAGGGTGAACCACACTAGAACGAGAGAGAGAAGACCTTTCTCTCTATCTCTCTCTCACTGTCTACTCTGCCTGTAAAAAAAAAAAAAAAAAAAAAAAAAGGATTCCTCATCAGTGCTACAAAAACCTGCTCTGGCATTTGTGGACTCTGTTTCCAAACTTCCCTCCTAATCATCCATCCCTCTGATCCTTGCTTAAGGCTTTCTCATGGCTCTGCCTCCTCTTATTTTGATTCTGAAGCCCAGATCCCTTTACACACCTTACTTGGCCCCCTGGTGTAAGGTGTTCTTGTGGCTTTGTTATTGGCATGTTTCCAGAACATGATCTTGATGCTCACCTCCTGTCCTCATATGAGGCTGCAGGTAAGAGGCATCGTGTCTACATGCTCTACCTTTCTACTAATGGGACTGACCTACCAGAAATAGCTTCAGTTTGAATTTTGGCTTCCTTGTTAGGGTGAGTTGTTTTATTGAAATGTCCACTTTAGTGTCTGATTTTTCAAGTTACACATTCCTTTCTCTGAATATTCCAGGAAACGTGATTGTTATTTCAGGCTTATTAGACCAGTAGTCTTCCTATTCTTCTAACACTCTTCGTTTGGTAGTCATTTTCCCACTAGGTTAGTGAGTGGTGGGGTGATAATTGGAGGAAATTCAAGTGTGGAAGCTATGGAAGACTTTATTGTTTCACTAACATAATATCTATTATTTGGTTCACGTGATCTATAGAGGCAGGAAAAACTAAATCCTCATAATCTCTGCTCCCTTTCTCCTAGAAATGACCTCTCCTGCCCTCCCCCTGCCCCCCATAGGGATGAGTGCAGTTGGTACTGTATTTTGTTCCTCCTTGGAACATATGGATCAAATACCTAGAGCTGAAGTCGCCAACTTGCAATGACATGGGAACTGCCAAGAAGGTTACCAAGAAATCGGCTCTGCAACCCTTGAGCTCTTATTGGTTGGTTGCCTTCACACTTGATATGTAAAAAAAAAAAAATCCTTCTTTGTTTAAACCTGGGTTCTGTTTTCTCTTACTTGCAGCCCAATTCATTCCAAAGTGGTACATGGAATTGCCTAATGAGAAAGCTTACACCATGGGTTGACCTAGAAAGAGCAGGTATGTGCTACTGCCCTGAGAGATTCTAAAGGAGAAAACTAGGCTTCTTTGTTTAGTACTTCAGGGGACAGTTCATGATTGTGATCAGGATCAACACTGAAGAGCTGAACAGTTGCCTAACATGCTGTGGGTCGACCTCTCTAGGTTGAGAGAATGAATCATCTTGGCCAGAAATGAAGCCTACATAAGGATATTTCAAAAACGTTCTTAGAAGTGGAATTAGGAGAAAAAATTTATTTTGGTACAAAATGTTTAAAAAGTATATGCATATGAAAAGCCTTCAAATAGTTAATGAAAATATGTGATAAAAACTATGGATTTCAATTTTATTTGCACAAAATAAACTTATCTTTTAATTCCATCTTCCATGAACTTTTTAAGGTTTTATTTATTTGAAAGGCAGAGTTACAGTGAAAGAGAGAGAGAGAAGTCTTCCATTCACTGATTCACTTCCCAGATGACTATTAAGGCCATGGCTGGGCCAGGCTGAAGCCAGGAGCCAAGAGCTGCTTCTGGGTCTCCCATTTGGGTGCAAGGGTCCAAGCCCGTGGGCCATTTTCTGCTGCTTTCCCAGGCATATTAGCAGAGGTGAAGCAGCCGGGTCTTGAACCAGCATCCATATGCTGGTGTCCAAGGTGGTAGCTTAACACACTAGGCCACAATGCTGGCCTATTCCTTGGGTAACTCATGGCCAGCTAGCATTTAGGATGAGCTCAGGGTATCTCTCTCTTAATAGCGGTAAAATTATTTGACCCTGTTTTGTTACTTGCTGTCTTCAGTGTTCCTCATTTGCTTGACATTAACCACATGATTTTGTTCCTTTTTATCCACTCTGTATTCACGTCTTGGGCCAGTGATTTTCAGTGATGTTCCTTCTCCCACCCAAGGGACATGTGACATCTGGAGACTTTTTTTTTTTTTTTTTTTTTTTGGTTGTCGTCATCTGGAGGAGACGCTGTTGTATGTAGTGGGTAGAGGGCAGAGTGTCCAGCATCCACAACAATAATCATCCAACCCAACATTTCCCTGGTACTGGGCCAAGGAGCTCTGCCTCAGACCTATCAATCAATCAATTGCTTCATTTTGTCTTAAATTCTTGGGTATTTGTTAGCTTACACTCCTGTCTCCAAAAACATTTGGCTCTGAGGAATCCTACTGACTATAGCCCTGACTCCAAGGCTCAACACTACTTCTAC